AGCACCGTGCACATGCTGAGGTGGTTGCTCAACAAGACCACCCTAGACAAATGAGTGGACAATCTCGAGTAAACTTGACTACCGTAACATTGCATGGGTGGATTAGCAGCAAAGGGAATGGAATGATAGAAGTGCACCATCAATGTTCTAAAATATCCCCCATTGTTCGTTTCAGACTGATCCAGTTCGACGCCACGCTGTTCAGGCTGCAGAAAGACGACGCAATAACCAACTTTACTATTTATGATTTTATTATTAGTTGATTTATTCATCCGTATCTGACAACTTTTGCAGCCTTTTTAAGTAGAGACGGAGGTATTGCCATTAGTGCCAAGACCAGCTGAGTTAAGTGGGGGAGGATGTAGTGCAACGAAAGTACTGCCTTCATCTCCATGAGTTCCTCACATAAACCACCTTTTTTGACTTTGATTTTCGAGGAGTACGCTAAGATCGGAGCAATTTTATTCTTCGCGTAATGGTTACACACGCTTAATGGAGTGAAACAATTGCCGATAAGCGAGCATTGTTATCGCTCAACTTGCACAGGAAACAATCGCATGGGCGGACGGGGAGTGCTCACTTGACTAAGCTGCCAGGAGATGCAAAAATGGAGCTATGTGGCCGTAAGGAGTGACTTAATTTGCATTGTATTTACGTCCTAGTCGTGCTCCTGCTCTGACTCCACATGAGATGTTCACTAGCCTGCGATCACAAGTGCATTGAGTGATGTTGATTTGGATTTAACATTTAGAATGAAGCAGTTCATATTTCAACAACTAATCAGTGCCAATCAGTAAAAATTTTTACCACATGCTAGGGGGAAATCGAAAAAGATGTCATGTAAAGGAAAAGGAAGGATTGCAAAAAAAAATTGGAATGAAGTTGTACGAAGTGCTTCTTTAAAAAATTTACAAGTCGCACACATGAACTGAAAGTAAAAAGGATTGTAGGTGTGCATCCGTCAGCAACGCCGCGTCAGTGTCATACATTCAACCATTGTGAAAAAGGGGAATAAGTGATCCATTTTAACCAGTCCTTACAGCAATAATGCCATAGAATGCATGTCAATGGTCTGTTGAACTTTAAAAAGG